CCCAAGACCAGAGATGAGATGACAGAAGGTAGCTGCAGGATCCAGAGAGAGCAAAAAGCCAGAATGTCTGCTTATATTCAGATGTAGGCCACACCTCTAAGGAAACTCCCTTTCATCTGATTGGCTACTCACAGTATATTCAATCATGGGAGTGATCACATTTAAACACTGAGAATCATGGCCCATCCAAGTTGACACACAGTCTTAACCATCACAGTCCTCAAGGTGACATCTTTGCCTTTAGCACTTTAAAGAGGTCTTTTGAGCAGATTTGCCCAATGTTATAAGTCATTTTATTTCTTGACTGCTGTTTCCATGAGTGTTAACTGTAGATCCAAGTAAAATGAAATATTTGACAACTTCCATATTTTCTCCATTTATCACGTCCAGTTGTGAGGATTTTTGTTTTCTTTATGTTGAGTGTAATCCATACTGAAGGGTGTGGTCTTTGATATACATCAGTAACTTCTTCAAGTCCTCTTCACTTTCAGCAAGCAAGGTCGTGTCATCTACATAGCTCAGGTTGTTAATGAGTCTTCCTCCAATCCTGATGCTATGTTCTTCTTCATATAGTCCAACTTCTCGGATTATTTGCTCAGCATACTGATTTATAAGTATGGTGAAAGGATACAACCCTGCACACAGCTTTCCTGATTTTAAATCATGAAATATACCTTTGCTCTATTTGAACAACTGCCTCTTGGTCTATGTACAGGTTCCTCATGAGCACAATTAAGTGTTCTGGAATTCCCATTCTTCACAATGTTATCCATAATTTGTTATGATCCACACAGTCAAATGCCTTTTCATAGTCAATAAAACACAGGTAAACATCTTTCTGGTATTCGCTGCTTTCAGCCAGGATCCATCTGGTATCAGCAATGATATCCCTCGTTCCATGTCCTCTTCTGAATCCGGCTTGAATTTCTGGCAGTCCCCTGTTGATGTACTGCTGCCACCATTTTTTGAACTATCTTCAGCATAATTTTACTAGCATGTGATATTATTGATATTGTTTGATACTTTTCACATTCCATTGGATCGCCTTTCTTTGGAATAGGCACGTATATGGATCTCTTCCAGTCAGTTGGCCAGGTAGCTGTATTCCAAATGTCTTGGCATAGATAAGTCAGCACTTCCAGTGTTGCATCCCTTTGTTGAAACACCTCAGTTGAGATTCCATCAATTCCTGGAGCCTTGTTTTTCGCCAATCCCTTCAGTGCAGCTTGGACTTCTTCCTTCAGTACCGTTGGTTCTTGATCATATATTACCTCCTGAAATTATTGAACTTCGACCAATTTTTTTGGTACAGTGACTTTGTGTATTCCTTCAATCTTCTTTTGATGCTTCCTGAGTCATTCGATTTTTTGCCCATAAAATCCTTTAATATTGCAACTCGAGGCTTTAATTTTTTCTTCAGTACCTTCAGCTTGAGAAATGCTGAGTGTGTTTTTCCCTTTTGGTTTTCTAATTCCAGGACTTTGCACGTTTCATTATAATAGTTTACTTCTGTCTTCTCGAGCTGCTCTTTGAAATCTTGTGTTCAGCTCTTTTACTTCATCATTTCTTTCATTCGCTTCAGCTACTCTACATTCAAGGGCAAGTTTCAGAGTTTCTTTTGACGTCCATTTTGGCCTTTTTTTTTTTCTGTCTTTTTAATCACCTTTTGCTTTCTTCATGTATGATGTCTTTGATGTCATACCACAACTTGTCTTGTCTTCGGTCATTAGTGTTCAATGCATCAAATCTCTTCTTGAGATGGTCTCCAAATTCAGGTGGGATATACTCAAGGTTGTACTTTGACTCTTGTGGATTTGTTTTAATTGTCTTCAGCTTCAACTTGAACTTGCATATGAGCAATTGACGGTCTGTATTGCCATTGGCCCTTGGCCTTGTTCTGACTAATGATATTGAGCTACTTCATCATCTCTTTCCACAGATGTAGTCAATTTGATTCCTGTGTACTCCATTTGGCAAGGTCCACATGTATAGTCACCATTTATGTTGTTGAAAAAAGGTATTTCCAATGAATAAGTTGTTGGTCTTGCAAAACTCTATCATGCTATCTCCCTTGCTGTTTCTATCACCGAGGCCATATTTTCCAACTAGTGATCCTTCTTCTTTGTTTCTAGCTTTCACATTCCAACCACCAGTAATTATCGATGCATCTTAATTGCATGTTTGATCAATTTCAGACTGCAGAAGTTGGTAAAAATCTTCAGTTTCTTCATCTTTGGCATTAGTGGTTGGTGTGTAAATTTGAATAATAATCAAATTAACTGTTCTTGTTTGTTAACATGGTGACCCTGATGGTATTTGGAATACCAGTGGCATACAGCATCACAGCAACACATAAGCTACCACAGCATGACAAACTGACAGACGAGTGGCGGTGAACAGGAATCGGGCAAGCTAAAACACCACAAAACGCGCTGTTCTTATTGAGATTCAGCCATTTTTCTTGAATTAAATACTCCCCAGGTTGCTGCAAGACTTTGGTCCATTTTCAGAACTCTGAAAACATTGATTCTGACCATTTGTGCTAGTGAATGTTCCCATTGCTTCTATGGTGGCAAGGATTTGGGGAGGTCCTTACTCTGCCATTTTTTCTGGTATCACCTCAAGTTAGTATACGTAAAGCATATGCTAACACAGTCTACCTTTGCATTTGTTATTATTATTATTGCTGTTGTTGTTGTTAATAATACACGAGAGAACATGTACGAACCCTCTTCCTCCCTTCAGAAAAGCATGGTCCCAGGGAGTGCGGGAAGGGCAGGTGGGGAAGGAAAAAGGCATGGGCTGGCAGAGAAAGGAGAGGGAAGCAGCAGAAACACGCTTCGGAAACTTGTTGGGGGGAAGGTGGTGCTCCGTGACACAGTGTGGGGGGTCTGACTCGCAGCTACACTGGAGCGAGAAGGCGAACAGGTGGACTCTGCTCAGGCTCAAGACTGAGCTGTGCTCGCTGTTCCCCCGCGGCTGGTCCGGTCGCCATTCCCTGCGTCTCTCCCTTGTGTAAAACCAAGCTTACCTCCTGCTCATCTGCTCTGTGAACTCACCAGACTTTAAAAGTCAGGTGCCTCCCAGGTCAGAGAGAAGAACCTGGACGGGATGTCCCCACGTGTGGTCCCTGGATACGCTGCCGTGCCATGCCCTGCTCAGCCTGTCCCAGTGGAGCTGGCTGGATGACGCATCTGTTTACGGGTGTGCTTGGCGGTGGCTGAGAGGCATGGGCTCCTGGCTATGTGATACCCTTCTAGCACATGCCCATGCCTGTCAAGGCCCTCAGTGCTGGGACTGTGTTTTTCCAAGACAGCTGGGTATTTGAATCTTCCAGGCTTCCAGGGACAGGAAGGGTGAACAAGGGTATTCCTGGAGGAAGCAGGAGGGAAGGAGAGACAGGAGCAGAGCGGCAGGCTTGGGGCTGGGCGAGGCTGCGGGATCTTGGGGCATGCAGCTTGGATGCCCCTGAAGGGCAGGTCTCAAGGGGCAGCTGTCTGACAACAGAGGAAATAATTCTGCAATCAGGTGCGATGCCACACACACTGTGGGCCACTGCCACCTTGGAGGGATGTTTGTGGGGACTGGACAGGACCTTTGGAAGCTGAGCCCAAGTCCTGTATCTTGCAGAGGAGGATTCAAAGGACAAGAGGGGCTTTGTCCTCCACCATGATCATCTAGGGGGTTCCTCGGCAATGCATGACCCGAGCCCAGGCCTCCCATGCTCCACACAGTGCTCTTTAGATGCGTGGTCTACTGGCTATGAATACAGATGGTTTCACATGTGCAGAATGGAGACTACTCTGCCTAAGGCCAGGTATTCTGGACCAGGAACTCACCTTCAGTGCGTGGGTTGAGCCACACGTTAGGAAATCGAGGAATATGCGTAAGTGACAGAGGAATCAAATGCATTCTAACTCAGAAGGGGTTTGAGCAGGGAGAGCCGTGCAGCAGGACAGAGGGTCTGAGAGAAAGGCAGGTGCTCAGCTACAGGCAGGCTGGCTTCATAGGCATAGGACTCTAGACCCCACACTTGGAAGGGCCCTGCACTTGGTTTGATGCTCTGCTGCCACTGTCTCGAAATTCTTAAAAAAAATTTTAACAAAGAGCCCTGGTGTTTTCATTTTGCACTGTGCCTAGAATTCTGTGTTGCCGTCGAGTCGATTCCCACACACGGTGCCTCCACGTATGTCAGAGCAGAACTTTGCTCCATAGGGTTTTCAATGGCTGATTTTTTGTAAGTCGATTGGCATCTCTGGGTGGACTCAAACCTCCAACCTTCCAGTTAGCAGCTGAGCGTGTTAGCCGCTTGCACCACCCAGAGACTTCAGAAAACCAGCTGCTGTGGTGTCGATTCCGACTCTTGGTGGCCCCATGGGTGGAGTAGAACTGTGCTCATAGGCTTTTCTCGTGTGTGTGTGTGTGTGTGTGTGTGTGTGTGTGTGTGTGTGTGTGTGTATGCTCCATAGGGTTTTCAATGGCTGATTTTTCAAAAGTAGATCGAGGTGCCTCTGGGTGGATTTGAACCTCCAAACTTTCAGTTAGCAGAGTGCATTAACACTTTGCACCACCCAAGGACTCCAGAACTTCTGGAGCTGGTCCTACATACGCTTCTGCCAGGAGGCCCAAGAATGAAGCTGCTGGCCCTTCAGCGTGGGAACGCAGAGCCACGGGCCCACCCATATTTATAGGACGATAGCGGGCCTGGCACACCCAGACCAGTGACCACCACTGGGAGCAGAAGCCCCTAGACTGTTAGATCTGCAGTTTCTTTCAGGAGTCTGTTGTCCTACCTGTCCAGCCCTCGTCTCTGGGTGAAAAGCCCCAAGCCTCAGCAAGACAGAAATAGCTGGAGACAAATGCCCTCATTTCACAACGGGCTCTGGCCGTCAGCACAACCACGCACAATTCCGAGTCTCATCCCTGCGCTGTCTGAGCCAGGGATGGGGGGACGGGGAAGGGCAGGAGGCGGGTACGGGGACAGGGAGTGGGTACTTTACCCCCAGACAGGGTGATGGTTCTGCAGCCCTTGTCCTTGCTGTCACTCAGGACGACGCTCTTGGTGCAAATCCGCCAGAGGCCGAAGTGGGCCACCTCACAGGTGCTGTTGTGGTGCTCCACGTGGGGGCTGAGCACGGCCCAGTGGTCGGTCACCACAGCCGCCATGGCCAGCACGACGCCCACCAGGATGAAGAAGAGGGTCACGCGGACCTTCAGGGTTTCGGTCTGGGACATGGTCGGGTCCTAGGGTGGGACGCAGTGGCCACGGCTCTCAGGGCAGGTGGCAGCTGGGCTTGGGTGGCAACGGGTGGCGAGCTGGGGGTCGGAGCTAAGTTTAGTGTGCCTGGTTGAGCCAGAATGGGCCGGCCTTGGGGCTGAGGGAGGGGGCTGAGCAGCTGCCCAGGCTATTAATGCCCGTCTCCTGGTGTGTCACCACGGTGGTGTCTGCTCCGATTTCAGGGCGTTCTTCCCCTCAGGAGCCAGAAATACCCAAGGCGGGCAGGGAGAAGAGGCTCTGCGGGGTGATTTGAGATCCCCACGGGGCGGCGCTCAGGATGCCTGAGTCAGGCAGGGGACCACGTGTGTGGGCATCTGCCTGCTCTGGACGAGGGCAGTGGACCCCGGGGGGCTTCCTGAGTCTTTCACTGTGAGGGCTGGTGACCAGGGTGGGGTAAGTACGTCCTTGTCTTGGGAGTCTGGGGGACTCAGGACCCTGCCAGGGGACCCCAGGGATCCCCCAGCCAGGGGCCTAGGCAAGCGCTGTACTTCTGAGCCCAACCACGTCTCCCAAACCTCAGGATGATTTTAGGTGGTCCCCGGGCCTGGCATTACCAACTCCAGAGTGAGAGGCTCTTGCCTTCTCAGTTCTCTTTCTAAGCTCACTTTAGGGTCAGGAAGTGCTGAATTCATCTCTGACGCTTGCAAACCACCCTTGCAGGCAAAGCGAGCCTGGCCTGGGAGGCATCAGACTGCAGAGCTGGCCGTGACTCAGACCACTCTTTTTAGTTTTATCTTCTGTTAATGCCAGCTAAGAATGATTTTCCAGCTATGTTTCCTTTTACAAAATAAATGTATTTAAGAAAAAAGAACAGAAGTAGGTTGATTTACAGGTGACTAGTAGGAGTCTGGCACCCTTGGGTGATGCAGACAGCTGATGTGCTGGGGTGTTAACTGAAAGCTTGGCAGTTTGAGCCCACCCGGAGGCACCTTGGAAGAAAGGCCTGGTGATCAGAAGAAAGGCCTGGGAAGATCACCAGGCCTTTCTTCTGAGGCGCCTTGGGTAGAGTGAATCTCCAGTCTTTCAATTAGCAGCTGAGCACGTTAACTGTTTACACCACCCACGGACTTCAGTGTTTCCAGTGGGGGCTAATCTGTCACAATTGACTGCCTCCATGATTGATGTGTTGATGCCCATGCTTTAGCTCAGAGGTGACTGTCTCCAGCAGGTGGGCCCTCTCCCTGGGGAACTCCAGGAAGTGGGGACATGCCACACAGCCTCTGAGCCCACTCACACCGCCTGTGTGGGCCCAGCCTCGGGAAAACCCCAGGTGGAGTCAGCCAGGCAAGGTGGTTCTCGGGCAGGGGTGCTGGGTTGCCTGAGGCAGACCTAGTGGGTGCCAGGCACACAGAAAAGCAGCAGCCAAGGAGTGAGAAGAGGGCTCTGGAGTTTTAAGGCAGAACACCTAGAAAGAAGCTATCATAATTGTATATACATGCAGATGTGGTGTCATTCGAGGATATGAAAATGAAATCTGAGCTCCCTGGTGTGGTAGGTGGGCACCCTAAGCTCTGCCCTGCTGGGAATGCTGAAGGTCTTGGAACGGGCCTAGAACAGTGCTCTCTCCGTGCAGCCACAATATTGCAGCTGTCACAGAAGCCAGGCCTCCCGAGGTCAGCACAGCCAGCGCCAAGTCTGTGCTGCCTGCAGGAGCCCTCAACCTCCTACCCAGGAGCAAAAGCATGAAAGATTGATGACCCTTCTTTCTGAAGCCGTGTTTGTGTGAATCTCCCCCGAGGCTGGCAGCCCCAGGGATTGTAGGCATGTCTACCTTCTCCTCCCCTTTTACTAAAACTCCTCAAACAGACCGTGTGGCTCTCGGCTCTGCCCTCTATGCTGCCCCCAGAGGCCGCTGTGGGCCACCTGCTTGGCTTCCCCAGCAGGGCCAGCAAAGGGGCTCACTGGCCGCTGGCACTGCTGAGATGGGCAGGAGGGATGAGAGATTCAGCATTCTCCCCCGGGGCCTGAGGCCTGGTGGCCGGCGTAAGGATAACTGATGATGCACATTACCAGCTTAGCCTGTGGTAGACCATCTATCCAGGATGGCTATTATTATTACTTATAGACTGCAGATGGATCTGTTTTCTCTAATGGGCTGTAAGCGATGGTGAGACTGCTATGAACTCATTCGGGGTCCCTCCCAGAGCCCAGTCTGGATCTGAGCACAGAGTAAGACTTTCAGAAATGCTTGTTGAGCAATTTTTGGATGGATGGATGGGTGGATGGATGGATGGATGGATGGGTGGGTGGGTGGATGGATGGATGGATGGATGGTTGGATGGATGGATGGATGGATGGATGGATGGATGGATGGACTGAGAGAAAGAAAAGGACAGAAGTACAAATAATTTACTCCACCAGATGATCCAAAGGACATTTCTATATGGCCTTCAGACCACAGGGACATAAGAAATGCCAGCTGGGGCAGACTTGGGACCACTTGGACCAATAAGCTAATTTGTCTTAAGGTTCTGAGAGATATTTAGGAGCACACAATCATCCTCTGTGATGCCAAATTTATAAGGAAGCTTCCAAAAATATTGTGTGATCACGCATATATGAAATAGCTAGGACAGGCAAATGCACAGAGGCAGAAAGCAGATTAGTGGGGAGATATTGCTTATTAGGATTCCCTGGGTAGTGCCAATGGTTAACACGCTCAGCTGCTAACTGAAAGGTGGGAAGCTGGAGTCCACTCAGAGGCACTTCAGAAGAAAAGTCGGGCAATCAACATCCCGCAAAATCAACCATTGAAAACTAGATGGAGCACCTGTCTACTCTGACACACTTGGGGGTCGCCGTGAGTCAGAGCTGACTCAAGGGCAACTGGTTTTATTGCTTAATAGGTACAGAGTTTCTGTTTGGGTAATGAAAAAGCTTTGGATATAAAGAGTAGTGATGGTTGAAAAAAAAAAATTGAAGGAAAGGGAGCAAAATTCTGAAAAGAAAAAGGAAATATCCTCCAAAGATCTAACGTTGTCTACAGATAAACTTCCAAGTGGATAGGCCATACTCGCCTAATTGGGAGTCTTCTGTATTGTGCTCATCTGAAAGGAACTTGTTTTCATTTGTCCCAGTTGACTGCCGTTCTCCCAAGAAGGATCAGACCTTAACTAGGGGAAGGAAAACATCCCCTGTAGGTGGATTTGATCTGAACCAGGGCCAGAGCACACCTGGGTGAGAGCCAGACAAACACTCATTGGTAATGTGCTGATCTAATTTTGGGCTCAGGCTTGATTAGACAGAGGAATGGCTTTGGTGTTTAATCGTAAAATGCTATAAGAAAGCAAGGTGCTACTCCCTTCATCCAACGAAACCTCCCCATGCTACTTAATCTCCTGCTTCCACAGCTCAACTCAGACCCTCTGCTGCCGCCAGGCTCCCTGCCCTCAATTTCACCTCGTGAGCCGACGGCATCCCTTTGCCAAGGGGGTCCCAGAGCTGCATGTCACCTGCCCCCCACCCCTGGCTTTTCAGAGCTTCTTAGGGAGGCGGGCAGAAGTCTGTGGGACAGCTTGACAGCCAAAGTGTGTTTAAGAAAGTGCAGAGTATGGCACTTAGCAAAGTAAGACATGGGCTGACCTCAAATGGCCGCGGCACACAGTGTTGTGGGGAGTTGGGGGGCTCCTTTCCAGCTCTGTTCCCCAAATGTTGATGCTCACTGGCATCCTGGGACTCTCTTTATCCTGTTCTCTCTGGTTCAGCTCCTCTCCTCTTCCTGGTCCAGGATCCAATCCAATACTACACATTGCATTTACTTGTTATATCTCGTTGTTGTTACTGCTGTTAGTGGACATCGAGTCGATTCTGACTCATGGTGACCCATGTGTGCAGAGTAGAGCTGCTCCTTACGGTTTTCAAGGTTGTGACCTTTCGGAAGCAGATCTCCAGGCCTGTCTTCTGAGGTGCCTCTGGGTGGGTTTGAACTGCCAAACTTACGCTAGTAGTTGAGTGATCGTTTGTGCCACCTGGGGACCCCTTGCTCTCCTCTTTCAGTTTCCACACCCTCCCCCACCCAAGTATTTCCTGACCACTTGAGCTCAGGGGACATCTCCCGAGTGCTGTTTATCCAGGACTCCCCAAATGCCTCCAGTGCACAGAGGGCTGGGGACACACCTAAGTTAGGGAGTGGCTTAGGCCCACACGCAGAAGGAAAGACACACCCCATGTCCTTGAGGAGCTCACCACTGTTTAGGCAGCCGGGCCTTCCTGGGAAGGGCTGGAGCTTCAGGGGACAGGCTCGTCGACTGGAGTAAATCTCCAAGCAGGACAGAGGGCCCCAGAGGAGGCCGGGTGATGCGTCCGTGCTGTGTCCACCTGTACAGAGCCCCCTGGGGAGCCTGTGCCCAAGAATGGTTTCATCAGATGCACTCCATACACCCGTGGGGGATGAGAAGATGTGACAGGGGGACAAGCGTTTTTTATTCTAAGGCTTTTGTATTTATTTTAATGTGGATAGGAAGTATCAACAGCATGCTGCCATTAATATTTCTTTAGGGCAAGGCCAAAGGAAGCCAGTGGCACAAACGGCTAAGCACTGAAAGGTTGGCAGTTCGAACCCTCCCAGTGGCTCCGAGGGAGAAAGATCTGGCAATCTGCTCCCATAAGATAAGACACAGGCTCTTTCCTTAACAGCTGAGAAGGGGCCCTGATTGAAGGAAAGCAGCAAAGCTCCAGCACCATGGGCACTGTATTAGTTTCCTGTTGCTGCTGTAACAAATGACCACAAATTCCATGGCGTAGACAATATGAGTTTACTTATCTTACAGTTCTGGAGGTCAGAAGTGTCACTGGGCTAAAATCAAGCTGTCAGCAGGGCTGTGTTCCTTCTGGAGGCTGTACGGGAGAATTTGTTCCTTGCCTTTTCCATCCTCTAGAGGCCGCCTGCATGCCTTGGTTGATGGCCCTCTTCTTTCTTCAAAGCCAGCAATCCCATCATCTGATCTCTACTTCCATCATCACATCTCCTTCCCTGACTCTCCTGCCTCTCTCTTTCCCTTACAAT